TTGAATTTATTCATATCATTATTATTTCTTTTTTTCAGAACCAGGAAATAGAAGAGCTGACCAAGATCTGTGATGAGCTGATCGCCAAGATGGGGAAGAATGACTGAGCAAAGTCTTTTCTGACGTCTCCAGTATGACCTTCCCCGCACCCTCTCTACCTGTCAGCCAATCAGCATGTGTCATGGAAGTTTAAAAACACCCCTACAGTAACTTTACACTAAGCAAAGTGTTCTTCTCCATTTCCAGATACAAAGAGCACATTGCGTATGGTTTCTGACCCGATTATGATGGACCTTCCTTCTTGTAACACCCAAAAAATGGATTCCCTTTGGGCAGCATGGCCAGTGAAAGCTCTCTACCCTGTATATATGCCACCTGCCTGGTCATGTGATCTTTCTGCATAATACCTTCTTGATTAATGTAGTTGGTGCCCATATTGTGCGTCCTGTTAATATAACCTGCAAGCTCCGTTTACAGTTGACGGAGCCCTTCAGGAGTCCCTTTTATCGACGCTCTTAATCTAAGGTGATGACCGGCAGGAATTAAGCCTGCTAAGCAGCAGCAGCAGAAGAATTACCCGCAGCAAAATGTGTTCAGGAGAAATGTCTTTTACTGTGCAGCAAATCCTATTTGCAATGCTGTCGGAAGCTGGAAGGATTGGCTGTAGCAGTTCCCATGGGTCTGCTTATGTTGCGTTTTGGGGGAGAAAACCTATTTACTAATGTTGGACAATCTACGTTCTGCTCATCAAAGGGTTGGCTGTGAGGCACGGCCATTGTTGTAGACGTTTCATATATAATACGAACCTGCCCCCATCAGAGGCTCTTATAAGAGGATTGGGAAGGATTTACATGCGTCTGTCATAATAATATTATTGGCTGGTCCAATAGACGGCTTAGTGCAGTTGGAGTGTGATGGTGAGGTTTTTAAAGGGGTGTAATGTATTAGACTTTTAAACTTGAGATGGGCAAAGTGCAGTAACACAAGCCACCTATCCGGAATAATTTCTGGCTGATCTGGCAACAGTAAAGGTAAATGGTATTGCCTGGCATGGGTCACCGTGCTTTGCACGTCAGCCTCAACCCATTCACTGCCCCTCATTGAACCAAATAGTCTCTAAATGCTGTATATTGCTCTTCAGAAAATATAGCGGCCAGCTGTTTGAAAGGAAATCCCTGTAAATCAAGACCTTAGCATGATCGCAATGGTTGTGCACGTTGGCTTTCTAAGGAACTATAGCTCCTAGAATGTCGTCAGCGCATACTGGCTTAGGTTGCCTAAGTCAACTACAGTAGGGCATTGGTCTGCCCTGTTTATAATGGAGAAAACCATATAGACCTCGACCTCCAGCTTGTTTAAAGTACAAATCCCAGCATGCCTCTGCCTCAGGAAGTCATGCATGTGGCTGTCAGTCTTGCAATGCCTCATGGGAGTTGTAGTTCCATAACAGCTGGAGTGCCAATGTTGCCGACCCCTGTCGTAGACCATAGAGGAGTAGTAGGTGCTAGCAAGATGTGAGCCACCCTTGGTGTGGCCAGTTTTAGGGAGGATCTTAAAGTCCAACTCCAGGCACAGAAAGTTCACTGAGGTTAAATTAGCTGGATGCGTTGTTGCCTCAAAAGCCAAATGGGGTAACAATCGCGTTCTTCTACACCCATAAAATCTGCTTGTTTACATGCCGGGGGAAGTACAACTTCCACTGTACTTCCAGGTTGCCTGGCTGTAAGCGACATAGGTCTTGTAGACTCCATTGCTGTTGTCGTGTCTCCATCCCTTAACCCCCTCCCATCCCCATTCTTCCACCCCTGTCCCCTCCTGACCATTCACTAGAACCTGGCACTGTGTGCTTTGTGAATGGCCAGGAGAAAATGACTAGAGTCTACGCTTACAACCAAGGTTTTCCCTTCCAAGTAGTTCCACAGCCTCACCGGCCACAACCAAAAAAAGACTGAGTTTCTTCATCATAGCCTAGAGAGTGGTAGTTTCCCATAGCCAGTTGGCATTAATGCTTCTTTGCCCCTTAGCCACCCCTCGCTGAGTTCTAATGGCCTTATTCAGATAAATTGACGGTGGCCTGTTCCGGGCTCATCATTTTTCTGCTGCTATCGTCCGTTGCAAAAATAAAATTAAAAAAAATCTATATCAAAGGATCTATTTTTCCAGGTAGATGGAAGCCAAATAATTTTTTGCCTTTTGCGGAGCCGAGTCGTAGCTTGTTAGGAAATAAATAAAAGCCGGCTTCATAAACGTATATATATTTACCCAAGGTATATTTTCTATACAGCAGACGTTTTTTTTTTTTTATATGTTCCAGCAAATACTTGATAATTCTCACACAAGCAAGATGACGACTAATATATGAAGGCATAAATGTATAATATAAATCTATTTTCCTTGTTTGTTCAAGATGTATAAATGGCGTTTCAAAACTGTCTGTAGGTGCGTGTTCTTTATTTGCATTCACACATTACTCCCTTCCTTCTGTGGATATGAGCTTCATATGTGCATGTCAGGCATACTGAGCTGTCCTTTGAAGGAAGCATCTCATCACCTTGAAGACCATATAAGGGGATTATTGGATATGGTCAACATGGCGGTGTGAATAGCTGGCCAATGATGGTGTTTCCAATGTCATGCCAACCCTGGTCTGGCACAGCAGGACAACTAAGGCCTTAGGTAGACTGGTGACAGCAGAAAGCTGAAGTTTATTCTGCTCATATTTTGTCTTTCCTGGTGCCTCATTTTACCCCGAGCAACATGGTAAAGCACCTTTGGGGGGGTGGGGGAGGTAATCATGGAGCTTCAATCAATCGTGTGATGAAGTATCTCGTCAACTTGAAGGCCATACAAGGGGATTATTGGATATGGCCAACATGGCTATGTGAATGGCTGACCATTGCTGGTGTTACCACTGTCATATGCCGGGCCCAGGTCTGGCACAGCAGGACAACTACGGCCTTGGGTAGACTGGTGACAGCAGAAAGCTGAAGTTTTTTCTGCTCATATTTTGTTTTTCCTGGTGCCTCATTTTACCCCTAGTAACATGGTAAAGCATTTTGATGGGGGGTAATCATGGAGGCTTGGCTTCAATCATGTAATCAAGTGTCTCATCACCTTGAAGGCCATACAAGGGGATTATTGGATATGGCCAACACGGCTATGTGAATGGCTGACCATTGCTGGTGTTACCACTGTCATATGCCGGGCCCAGGTCTGGCACAGCAGGACAACTACGGCCTTGGGTAGACTGGTGGCAGAAAGTTGAAGTTTAATCTGCTCATATTGTCTTTCCTGGTGCCTCATTTTACCCCGAGCAACATGGTAACGCATCTTGATGGGGGTAATCATGTAGGCTTGGCTTCAATCACACATGCATACACGCAATAGGTTGAACTTGATGGACCTGTGTCTTTATTCAACCTCAAATTCTATGTAACAATCATGTGACCAAGTGTCTCATCACCCTGAAGGCCATACAAGGGGATTATTTGATACTGCCAACATGGCTATTTGAATGGCTGGCTGATTATGGTGTTGCCAAGGTCACACCGGGCCTGGCACAGCAGGACAACTAAGGCCTTGGACAGACCGGTGGCAGAAAGCTGAAGTTCCATCTGCTCCTATTTAGTCTTTCCTGGTGCCTCATTTTACCCAGAGCAACATGCTAATGAAATGATTAAGTAACACCTTTCTATTTTATTTTAGACCCTTATCATATCTCTGACATCATCACTGGGTCTCTGCTTCTCTATGCAATGCGGGCAGAGCATGGCTGGTTGGAGGGGCTGGCAGGGTGCTCTACATAGCTTCTTGAAAACATCATAGCGCCCGCCCTCAGCACCCCTCAAGAGCCCTCTGGCCTGATGCAAGCAGCGGGCTGGTTCTTGGGAGGAGTTATGCAAATATTATAATGCCTTGATGGGTGGATGTCAGTCTAGGGGGTGGGTGTTCCTAGGCAGAATGCATTTGCATGCAGGCCCCCCTAGGTAATGCCCACGTGTGATGCTGAGCATTACAACTCCCTGCCTCAGCACTCCTCCCAAGAGTCCTCAGCCCTGATGCAAACAGTGGGAGTTAATCAAATATCAAAATGCCTTGATGAGGTCAGTCTGGAGCAGTGGGCGTTCCAAGGCAAGTTAAGCATGGAGACCACCCTAGGTAACACCCACATGTGATGCTGAGCCTCCATGATTGAGATAACTGAAATCCATTGAATAAAAGGGGTGGGGCCAGGGACAATAAGGCTGAGGTAAAGTACTAGGTGATGCTGGATGTCCTCCAGCCAGGAAATGGGAGTCAGGCTGGGGAGGAAAGAGATGATGCTGGACAGCCAGGAAATGGGGCGGGCTCTATCTGACTTGCTGCAGCTTCTAATGCACATTGTGAGAAGCTCCCAGTGTGCGGTGACATCAGAGGAAGCCAGTCCAGGAGAGGAGCCGGTACAACTGTGCAAGACTGAAGGGAAGGCTGGATGTCAGATATAAGACTGAAGGGAAGGCCGGAGGTCAGATAGAAGACTGAGGGGAAGGCCGGAGGTCAAATATAAGACTGAAGGGAAGGCCAGAGGTCAAATAGAAGACTGAAGGGGAGGACGGAGGTCAGATATAAGACTGAAGGGAAGGCCGGAGGTCGGATATAAGACTGAAGGGAAGGCCGGACGTCAGATAGAAGACTGAAGGGAAGGCTGGAGGTTAGATATAAGACTGAAGGGAAGGCCGGAGGGCAAATATAAGACTGAAGGGAAGGCCAGAGGTCAGATATAAGGCTGAAGGGAAGGCCGGAGGTCAGATAGAAGACTGAAGGGGAGGACGGAGGTGTATTTACAAAAACCGAAATGTCAGATTTGTTAGATATAAGACTGAAGGGAAGGCCCGGAGTTCCTCCTGAAAATACTAGTGGCCTGGCTGTGTTTTGGTTCCAGTACGGTCACAGTCACCAACCCAGGGCACACATGCAGAAACAAAGTCTGAATTTGTGATCTACACTTGTTCTGTGCCTCTGAGAGGAAGGCAAAGAGGAGGCCGCCACGGGGTGCTTAAGCAGAATGGGGGCAAAACAAGGGGCAGGACATGCAAGAAGGGGGGGGGGGGGG